CATGATGCAGATGTTGTTTTGCTTCGTGTTGTCCAGAATGTTTCTTAAGCTCTCCTCATTTTTAAAAAATTCTTTTTTCTTTTTCCACTCTGCCTGGGTGTTTTTTTCTCCCTTGTCTTCTGAATCACTGATTCAATCCTTTGCTTCATCTAACCTATCGTTTATTCCTTACAGTGTATTATTTATTTTAGATACTGCATTCTTCATTTCTGACTGGTCTTTTTTTTATGGTTTCTATGTCTTTTTTCATGCATTTTTTCCTTGAGTATCCATATAATCATTACTGTAAACTCTGTATCTGATAAATTGCTTACCTTCATTTCATCTAGTTCTTCTGGAGAATTCTCTTGTTCTTTCATTTGGGGTCTATTTCTCTGTCCTCCTATTTTGGCTGCTTCTTCATATTTTCAGCCATCAAAACCAATCAGTTTTAAACTAATCAAGCTTTTATCAGCAGCCCAGTTTAAGGTCTACAGGGTTGGGCAAAGTAATTCTTGGGGGTGTGGCTGTTGCTCGCCTCAGCCTAATGCCTTTCAGAGAGGAGTGCTCTCTCTGCCTGAGAAAGGTGGCTTCTGCAGCGAGGGGAATGACTCAGCACAGGGAACCTGGCATCTGTTCCTTCGGTTCTCTCTTCAGAGCCACCTCCCCCAGACTTTCCTCAAGGATCTCAAGTCCACTCTGCCCTCCTTCTGCCGAGCCCGGGGTAAGTGACTGCAAATGAAATTTTGTGCATTCACTCTTTAGGAGGCTGTCTGCATTTCCAGCCTTCTTTCCCTGGTAGACAGAAACCCTGCTGTTTTTCACACTTTTGTGTTATTTGGGTTCCTTTCTGGCCCTGATGCTGTAGGCTGGGGAGCTCAGCCTCAGATTTAGGCCCGACACGTGTCTGTCTGGGAACCCTGGCTGCTGAAATATCCCTCCGGGACTTCAGCTGCCACCCGTGGGAGCCCAGCCAGCCCTCTTGTACCTCCTCTGCACTCCCTATCAGACTTGTGCTGGTGAAGTGGTTTCTTTGGTCTGTGCTTGGTTATAAGGGTTCTCTCCAGCTGGTGTTCAGTTGGGTGTACAGGATGATTTCTCTGCAGTGCAGCTGTAGTTTGAGGTTGGTCTTGGGAGGAGGTTAGTGTAGCTCCCACTTATTCTGCCATCTTGAGTTCTCTCAAGTCACTTAGAGGGATAAAAGAACTCACTAAATTTTAAACCCTTAACCTCTTACATTATTACAAATGCCCAGTATTAAAGCTGTGAGAATATTAGTGTTCATTTGTTTAAACAGTAGCTCCAAAAAGATTTATTGAAGAAATACTTGGTTTTGGTGTAATCTGGAGGTATTTTAGCAAATAGAGTAATTATGGGGGTAGGGAGGGAGGTTAGTTTGTTTTAAAATGTATTTATGCTTAAAATTTTTGAAAAATAATAGCTCTCACATTTAATTTTTTCCAAATTCTTTTTATCTGCCCTTTTTTGTTTTTGACCCTTAATATTGTTTAGTAGAACATTATCTCATATACCAAAAATTTTAGTGAGTTTAAAAAGTTTTTGTTTACATCTTGTTTACTGACAACCTATATGCCCAGATATTAAGTTTTTATGTTAAACTACAAACTTTTTTTAACCTTAAGGATTTCAATTTCCTTGAACTTTGGTTGGAAAACAGTTTACCGTAGGGTGGTGCTTTACTAATTGGTAAAATTTGAAGTGAGAAAACAACTCAGCAAACATTTATTATGTATCTAGAGGTAACTTGCTGTTAGTTTCTTTGTTCTGTCATGAGATTTTGGGATTTTAATAATGTAGAAAGCTGCAATTTCATACTTCCGTGTATTATTTTCATAAAAACTTGTTAGAAAGTGTCTACAATTTGTCCCATTGACTTACCTGATGTGGGAGTTCTTCCTCTCCAGAGAACTGAAAGTATAGAATGTCTAATTAGGGTTTGTGCAGGTGCTGTCTCTTGGGATCAGACTACCTGGCTGGCGGGTGATAACCAGCCCAAATATTCTTGCCAGCCAGTGACACCTGCAGCTCTGTAGGGAGAAGAGAGAGAGGGGAGCTGAGATGCAGGTGACGGGGTGGGAGGGAGGTTGAGTTTGGTAATGGGATGTTTGCCTGTGAGCTGAGCGCTTTGAGATACCAATACTTCTGGCCAGAATTCTTTTTGTGTGTGTATGAAATGCAGTTTAAAGGTGTTGCTATATTTATGTGAAAGTATATGGATTTCATGAAAGTCAAAGGTCTGAAAGTCAGATTTGCATGTATTGTATCGATAAATGTGTCACTGAGTTTGCCTAATCATCGCAATGGGAAATGTTCGCTACAGTGCAGCCTCACATTTTTGCATATCCTATTATACCTGCCCTACATGTGAAGAGTCGTGTCTTTGAGAAATGAAGAATGGGCATGCCCCTCTTTTCTTTTTTCATGTTTGTTTATTTGTGTCTTGACACCTAATTTGTTAAAAGGTATGTTACTTTTGTAACACACTTTATCTTTAGCTCTTTTATTACCTTAAAGTAGCAGCTTAACACTAAATGCAATAGTCGTCAGAGACTTGAAATAATAAATTGCTCATAAAAGTACCTTCTTAAAATGTATATTTAACTACTCATTTCTAAATGGACTTATTTTGTAATTTTTTTGGCAGGAAATATAATACTTAGATTTGAATACTTTTATAGTTTTGTTTTCCAGTAGCTATTTCTTGATCTTATGAAGAAAGTTCTTTAGAATATATCCGAGTTGAGAGGGTGATTTCAAATTATCATAATGGTAATTAGGTAGAAGAGAGTTTTTGACTGGACTCTGAAGGAAACTTAGTAGTATTTGTTAAGTAGGTAATATGAGTTAGCACACTGCAAAGGATTCAGAGGACCTAATAACATGGGGTCTGTTGACTATTCTGGGCTTGAGCTAGGCCCCATGCTACGATGTCTGGTCTTTGTTTTTTGTTTTCAGGGTAGGCAAGAGGGCTCCTGTAAACATTGTGTTTTGTTGTTGTTGTTGTTTTGGTTGATTACTGAACTTCGGGTAAAAAGGCAGTTCATGGCTAGTGCCAGGATAGTGTTCAAATTTCTTTCTTCCTAATTCTTTCTGTTTGCAAAAGTGCTTCTTCAACTTCTATATTTTGGTTGATGTACACTTCTTTGTAAAGACAAAATTGATTTACCTGACAGATGTTAGGAATGATTCTCACATACTTGGAATTTTAATCTAGGAGGGCTGGTTTCATTACGCCCTGGAAAGAGCGCTCTGTTTGGAGTCAGAATTGTGGGCTCCAGTCCCGCTGTTGCTGACCGTTATGGTCAGTGTGTTCCCGTGTGCTCTTGGGCCTTGGCCGTCCCAGCCTCCCAGGCAGCACTGTTGTGACAGTGAGTGCAGGAAAGGATTTACTGTCTCAGCACAGTAAGAGACAGGTACCTTACTTGTGTCCCTAGATGTAGGATTTGCTTTTGGTGTTAACAGAGGCAGATGGACTACAAACATTGCGGTAGGATTTCTCAGCTGTGCTCCGAATTTTAGTAGGTGTTGCACTAAATATATAAAATAGTAAATAAACAACATGATGAAAATAAGTTGAATGGATAGATGACCTTGGGAAATACTATAGACCTTCCTTTTGGAGATTTGCTAGGCATAATAATGTATATTATGTGTTTCTTTTTAAAACAAAGGTAAACTTTGTTTACCTGAGTTCATCATTAACTCTTTGAGATCACCGATTTTAAAGAATACTGGTATTCCATGTGGCATGGCTTGTGAAGCACAGTTTTTAGGTAATTGTTTTCAAGATGACTTGACATTAGAATTCTCTCTCTCTCTATGTATATACATCTTGAGACTTCTCAAGTTATGTATATGTATAATAGATACTATACTTACTGAGCCATTGGTAGTTAATGCTTGCAATGGAAATTTATGAAGTTTCAATGAAAGATGTCACTGCTTTGAATTCCAATTTTTGTGGAATTTGTTGCCTGAATTTTATGACAAAACATTGAAATTCAACAAAATTACTAAATATTAGCAATCTCTATTAGGGTGAATTTAAGTAATTTTGTGTTAGAGTTGATATTACTTGTTGAGATAATCTGAGGTTTCAGTGTTGTTCATTTTTAGTATGATCTTATTCTTTCCTCAGATTTCTGATTGCTATTCTTATTTTTCATCAGTTTTGCAGTTCTGCCGAAGACATTTACATAGTTGGAAGAGTTGTTACTAATGGACATTTGGGCTCAATTCACGTTATCCTAGTCCTTGTGGGTTTTCGGTTTCCATTTCAGAGGTCACAGCCTTAACTTGTTTAAATGAAATTACACAGGTGGGACTACTGAGTAACCCCTTACAGTGGGGTGCCAAATGGTTGAACTTGGTAAGGTATCTGGCGAGTGGTTGCTTTTCTAGTGTGGTGACACAGGAATCAGACCTGGGGTGGGGGAGTTAGGGGGTGGAGGGATTGAGCAAAAAGGAAAAAGGACTCATGGACAGCAGTGTGGTGATTGCTGGGGAAGGGGAGCATAAGGGGGCTAAACGATAATGGGAAAAATACAATAGAGATTAAATAAAAGTAAATAAAAGAGCTGAGGGAACAATAATATCAACAAAGAAAAAAATAATACAGAGCACTCAATCCCCTGTATACTTGGTCCAGATGTAGCTGATTTTTATGCTCCTGATTTTATGGAGGCTGGGAAAGGGGTCAGACAAATTCGGTAGAATAAGGTCAAGTGAAGGTGAAGGCCTGAGGCATCCTCTTGTGAATGTCATATGTGCACTTTAGCACGTGGACTTTATTTCAGCTGCCTTTTTGCTTAACTTTTTAGTATATGTTTTAGATAGTGAAGTTATATAGTTGAGTTCCATGTAAGTGATATAATATGGTATTTTCTTTTCCTTTATGCAAATTTGCATTTTTAATAAAAATATTATTGAAAGTAATTACACAAATGTGAAATCTTAAATTTTGATAATGACTAGATATTTCTGTATGTGTTTTGTTTCAGGTTGTTTCACGAAGAAATCCAGAGGATGTCCAGGAGGTAACATGCTATTCATATAAAATTTTATTTTATTTTTTATTGAAGAAATTGACATTTTTGTCAGTTTTTATATATGTGTATTTGTGTGGTGATTGTCTTCAGCTCACAAAACAGTAGCAGAAGCGCCCTTTTTCAGACCTTTTGAGTACATTTTAAGTTTTAGTAGGATTTAAATTATAGAAATACGAATTGGAGGAATTATTCAGACCTACTAAATATGTGTTAGATTTTAGTAGGTGTTAAATTATATAAATAAGATTTTCAGGAATTACAATGCTGTTTAATAATATGATAATTTTTCTGGTAGGTAGCATTCATAAGATTTCAAGATTAGTTAAGAGCCCCTGTTTACCTATTTCAAAAGCATGATGCCTGTTTAATAAAAAAGTGAAAAGTATTTGGTAACTAGTATTAATTTTAAAGATTATAACTATAGAATTATGGGTTTCTGTCTACTTCCTTTTTTTATTGAGTTAACATGTTGATATCTTGGAGAACTGCTTTGGGTGTATACGTTTCTTTTTAAATTTTGTACTTGGTAAGATCTTTTGCAGATTCTTTCCCTCGCTCTAAAATGATACCATTTTTGTTATATTTTTGCTTATAACTGTGGTTCTCTGTAATTACTTTGTGCTTACATACTGTTAGGAATCCTATCTGAGGAGCTTATTTCTTTGAACACTTTTTGATTTACTTGCATATTAGTACTCACTCATTTTCTTCTCTAAAATTAATTTATTTTCCAATTACAATGGACATGCAGTACTATATTAGTTTCAGATGCACAACATATTGATGAGCCATTTATATACCTTATGAAGTGATCACCCCAGCCTCCTTTTTACTAAGATTAGGACATACTGTATATTGGGCATTTTTTTTCCTACTAAAGAAACAGACACTGTAAGTTGGCAGTCTTGAGTCTGCAGCAGTGTTTTTTTTTTTAATTTAATTTTAATGTCTTTAGGTGGGGTGTGTGCTTTTTATTTTGCCACAAGCTCCACTACTTCTTACTGAAAAAAATATGGCTTGATTCATACTCATACATTTAAGTTGATGGTTTGGTAGTGGTTTGTTTGAGTATGGAACATCAGGTTAGGCGTGTATATGGACTTTTATACATTACCATTTCTTACTATATCTAATATGTTTGTTTTTCCCCCTACGGTTAAAAATAGTTCTGTAAAAGACACATTTTAAAAAAGATTTCTTAGTATTTTCCATAGGGTTTTGAGATACCTTACACCTGCTGCCCCTAATAGCCATGAAGAGAATATTGTGATACTGTTACTGTGGAAGAAAAGAGTGTACATGAATCTCTCTGTCCTTTGAAAGTGGCAGTGAAAGTGACTGGCACCATGGATTGAAATGCTCTCTACTTAAGTGTCGTGCGATTAGTGTGAACTGTGATTTAGGATGTAGAGTTCTTTCGAATGTTAAATTAATAATCAATACCAAGGTTTTCTGCTTTTTGAAAATGTACAACTCTGTTGAAATTGAAAATGGGTTGTGTTTCTTTTGGATGGGTTGTGTCTGGTTGCTGTGCTGTAGTTTGCAGCTTGATGTTCCCCTTTTCCAGGGAGAATCCTGAGCCAGCCTATCATGAACACACTCTCTGCCATTTCCTTAATCCTTTTTTTGGGAAAACTCTTTTATAATAACAACTGTTGGTGAACCATTCATCAGAAAACTTGTAAGTGTCCTTTAGTGAGATGATTGCATGGTCCTTTGTTAGAAATGCTATACAAAAATGAGAACATGTTTTCTGTGTAGCTGGCTTCTTAAAATATAGAATAATCTGGAAATTATAACATACTTTATTTTTATCCTCACCTGAGGACATGCTCATTGATTTTAGAGAGAGGGGAAGTGGGGGGCAGAGAGAGAGAGGGAGAGAAACTCAGTGGGAGAGAGAAACATTGATCGGTGAGACTGAACCCACAACCCAGGCAAGTCCCCTGAACAGGAATGGAACCCGCGATCTTTTGGTTTACAGGATGACGCTTCAGCTGACTGAGCCATGTCAGCCAGGGCATAATGATACTTTTGGTTTACCATGTTTCATTTAAACATTGGAGTTCTCATCTAGGAGGGGAGTTCACCTTCAGGGTGTGTTTCCATTTCCTTTCCTTGTACTTTCTGTCTTCATTAGCTTACTCATTTAGTTACTGCTCTAGAATGTAGGCTTTACAGGGCCGTTGAGGATTAGTGGATGTGTAGTTCATTCAACCAAAGATAGGGCTAATAATATTCTATCCTTATAAAACCAGAGAAAGTTGGCTGTTTGTTTATACATATACACATACATACGTGCATGCGTACATACCTTGGCATGTGTACTGTTTTCTTCCTAAGAATGCTTAGATACTAACATGGGGTAAATAATTTAAAATTGTTCAGGATAGATTCCCCCTCCCCCACTTATCTGTTAAACATTTCCTCTGAATTTTAGTTATCAGAGCAGCCTGGGTGCATGGGAGGGGGGACAACAGCAGTCCCTGTGGCCTCTCCTTCAGACGATCCTCCAGCGCATGGAGACTCTAGTGAGTAGAGAGAGAGAGGGAATGTGCCCTCCCTTCCCCCGCCCTTGAAAAGAAGTAACCCGTATGCAGCTCCGTTTCTCTATAGCTAGTGAGTTTTACTGGTGTCAGAAATGTGTCAAAGGGAAGGAAATCCATAAGCAAATAGTATGGTAGGTGATCCAGCAAGTTCTAACTACTACAGGAGAGTAAAAGGGACAAAGTTAATTGGATTGAATGGTTTTGTAAAATACAAGAGATCTAAAGGTTTTGGTATCAATAAATGAAGTTATCTTAAAATTTTTTATGTAAAAATATTTAAGGGGATGTTTTTAATAAAGATTAAGCTTTTATTAAACTTGTAGTCTATATATCATTGTCATTAAATTAATATTTAATTGAGGAATTTTACTCATAACTTTAATGAATAAGAAATTTCTGCAGAATTGGTTCAGTAGAGCAATAGCTGTTACATGGTATTTTTTACAATAAAAGAATATTAGATTGTTAGAGAAAATAGTTTTTGCATGTATCTTTTGGGACTGTATGTAGTCCAATCGTAAACATTAATACTTGTTGAAGTAATGGAAGTGTGCTTCTGTTCACTTTCCCATTTCGAAGATTTTTAGAATTGTCCAAAGTGGAAGGAGTAAGAAGAAAAGCCGTCAGTGAATGGGGACATTTTGTGATGGTTTGGTTTCCCACAGTTCTTGAGGGTTTTTATTTGCTCTTAGGTACTTAAGTTCTAAGGCTCCAGCGTTGAGAATAAGGAGTGTGTGAGTGAATAAATTAGGACTCGGTGAAGAAATGCAGATTCTCACCTTGGGGGTACGGTTCTTATTCTTGCTCTGACAACCTGTCGGTTTATATGCCATGGTATTTTGATCATTATTTTGTCTTTATTGTGATGAAATTGTTAACTTTTGCCCCTGAAATCACTCTGCCTTTATTTCACAGTGATTCTAACTAGAATACACATTTTACCTGCAGATTTGTTTCCATGAGCTATGCAGTCTTTGGAATAGCTCTCACGTCTAGTTTATCATGGCTTTAAGGATGCCATCACCTTGTGTAAGGTTGTTTTTATAAGCCCATTACCCATTTCCTCCTTAAGCCGTTGGCAGTGTGGTACTACCATAATTTGAATGTTTTTTTGTGTGGCATAATTATGTTCATGCATCAAAGTTAAAAACTGAGAAGCTCAAAATATGAAAATTGAAATCCATGTCATTTTACTACCTGAGAACTTTGCTTTTCAAGTATTGGTTTAGCTCTCAGTTCTTGCTGTGTCTTTTGCTGGAATTGTTGGTTCTTTGTCCTCAGCGTTTGTCTCATTCACTTTCATTTTGAAATAAAATTTCTTCTTCCATCTACGTGTCCTCTCTCATGTCACAGTCAGGTTTCTTAAATACTTTGCACTTGGTTTCTCTTTACTTCTGGTTGGTCCCTCAGTGTTAGGGCTCCCCATCATTCTGTTGTTGGACTCCTCATCTCATCCCAGATGCCGAGATACCTCTCCCGAGTGGTTGCCACTGCTCTGCTGATGCTCCAAATCAATACATCCGGCTTCCTTCTTGCTCTTGAACCCCAAACCCATCTACCCTATGGGATATTTCCAATTAGGTGCCTCCTGAGCACCTAAATCAAATATATCTAAAATCGAACTTTGCCCTTATCTCAAAACAGCTTCTCCCTTGGCTTTTCATCTTAAGGAGGAGCATCACTCTTTATCTCATTGCAAAACCAAAATTCTAGTCATTGTATTTGGCATCGCTCTCCTTTGAAGAACTTCATCCACAACCCCTTCTTTCCTCATTTTTGTCGGTCTAATCGCTGCTTCCCTTTAGGTTGCTCACCTAAGATAATCCTTTCTATAAAGCTGCTGTCTTGTGAGTGATGTGCTTACTGTGTTGGCTTGTTCGTCCTAACTGGACGGGAACTCCTCGAGGGCAGGGATCGCGTTTCTCAGTCCTTCCTCCTTTGGGCCAGCACAGTGCCCAGCACAAAGTGGGGCCGGGAAAGTACTTGTTTGGGTGACTGTTTTTGTTGTTGAGTGAATGAATAAAGGGAAGCATCAGGAGAGCAGGTTATTTAAGTTAATTCATATTACGTCTGACTAGTGCCCTAGGGTTATTCCTGTGTTAGAAACAAGAAACTTGTTAATCATGGTAGAATTTTTGATAGTTTGACCAAGTTCGGTAATGAATTTCATATATGCAAAAATTTACTCAAAGAGTGAATTTTTGACAAGAGTCTTAAAACTTTGCTTATTAGCATTGCACTCCAATCCTGAGTTTGTCAGAAGTGAGGTAGGTAGGTTTTTTAGCAAAGGCCCCAATACATGAGGTGACAGAATTTAAAACTCAGTTTTCCTCATTGTGGAGACTGAGGGGTGAGTCAGTGATATCCAGGTAATATTTAAATCCTTTTCCTAGACCACTGCTGTCTGAGCAGTTTGGTATTTTAATTGGAAATTATTGGAAAGTGATTTTTCTCTTGATTTTTTTCCTTCAGTAGTAGGTTGGTTCATTAATAAATGTGAGGCCATTTAAACTGCTGTTGTATTCTGCTTTGTGAGTATTCAATGATACAGATGTTCTCTGGCTATTAAGTATAATACTTCAGTATGGCTAGTGTAAGGAACTGATTTTTTTTTAAGTCTATGTAAACATTTATTTGACTACAATGTACCATATATAAAGTGGTACTATTACATATGATACAGTTGCAATCTAAATGAAAATGTGGGTTTATTCAGTTGCACAATTGGCTAGTATATCTTCTGGGTAATGTGATGTGCAGCAAATAGGAGTGAGGGGCAGAGGAGTCGGGTAAGCAGGGTTATTTTTAGTCAGAACTGTAAACTTGAGTTACCCCCCATACTGCTGGGGAATATGGACTATATTAGCCGAGATGTTAACTGAAAAAGCAAAACTGTAACAAAGTCAAATGTGCAGCCCTATTTTACATGTTGTATAATCCAGATGCTTGTTGTTTGTGAAATGTACTAGTTTTAATGGTATTCTGATCAGGATTCACCTTCTCCCAGAATTTTATTACTTTGAATTGAGATTTATGAAATAAAAAAGCTCATGTTAATTACTTTCTACATAGCTATTGTTTCTTCTGTGTTATGCACTTTGTCTATCCTTTTAGGCAAATGCTGAATAGGCACTTTGTATATAAAATTGTCTGAATGAAATATTTTGTGTTTGTAAATATGATGTTTTTGAGACAGAATATATATTTTGACACTTATTTCATTTCCATGGCTAATAGTAATTGACTTTTGAAGAGGTTAAATGACATTTTAGGTAGGACAGACCTTCTTTGTTGGATATTTTTGAATATTTTTCCAGTATGAAGGAAATAGTGCTTGTTCACAATGAAATTTAAAAATCAAGATAGGAAAAGTTGCTGTTTTATACTTTTAAAGTAAATGTTCATGAATCTTACTTACATAGTTAACCACATTGGTTAGAACATATACTTGTTTGCTTTTGCTTGGTCATTTTGAGCACTTTAATGAAATGATTATGATTAGATATCTGAACCTAAATAGTTTCTCTATGAGATACACATTTAATTTTTTTCTCCCAGATAATCATATGGAAGAGATACAGCGACTTTAAGAAACTACACAAAGAACTATGGCAAATTCACAAAAACTTATTCCGACATTCAGAATTGTTTCCTCCATTTGCAAAAGGAATCGTGTTTGGTAAGTGACTATATTTAATTTCTGATTTTAAAGCATGACAATTAGCTAACTATGTGTATATGCCAAACCCTGAAGTTGTGTCCCAGGAAGTCAGAAGCCCCTTTACATACTACAGTAATTGTGTCATGCATCAAGCAACAAGCACGTGAAGTAGTTTTTCATGTTCTAGGTGCAGTTTTGCTAATTCAGAATGCATTTATCTTCTGTCCAATAGCAACACAGCAACAACAGCGCCAACCAATCAGGTAAAACAACATGTGAGAACATAAGAAGAGATGATGTTGAATTAGTCTTCTAGATCTTAATTTTTTTTATTTTTAATATCTGTGTCTTACAAATGTTGACCCATTTATTATATAATATCAAAAATTGTCAATATCACAGATTTCTAAAGGAAATTTTTTAAACACCAAATTATAACTATTCAGACTTGGATAGCAAGACTGAATAGGCCAACTTGGATAGACAGCTATCCACATCTGAATAGTTATAGTTTGTTTTTTTCCCTACAGACTTTAAAAAAGAAATGGTCTCCAGGGCTGAGATTTAATAAATAAAGTTAATAAATTTTCTTCTTCATCAAGGACATTCTTAAGTGAAACTGGCATGTAAAACAATGTTAACACGAGTGAGCGGCAGTGGGAATATGCTGATTACTAGTGAGTACAGCTTGGTGCCATTGCCGTGGCTCCTGCTGGGAGGCCAGCAGTTTCCCTGCCGCTGGTTGTAGATGATCCTCAGTGCAGATGTCGGTGTGGTGGGTAATGCAGTGGCCGTGTTATTGTCGTGAAATGCTTTGACCTTGTTGGTCTCTTGGAAGTCCTTAGGGGACCCTCAGCAGCCTGTGGCTTATGTTCTGAGAACACAGAAGCACACGTGCACAAATCTGTACACACACGTATATACATACACATGGGTATTCCTTGCAGCATTTCAGTAGACGAATACTGAAAATAAACTGAATTTTCTTAGTATGTGATTGTATGGGTGTGCTGTAATTTAGCCAATTCATAGAATTCTTCAGTTATTTCATATACATTGGTATGGAAATGGGTCCAAGTGTATTTTTAAGATATGGAAAACAAACGTTGCAAAGCAGTGAGTTTAGTAAGACCCTTTCTGTGTTTAAGTAGACATACATGTTTGTGTGCAGACGTTACCTGCACACGTTTGTGTAAAGTGTAAAACCTCTGGGCCGTGGGAGGAGGGCTGTTTTTGCTTTTTACCTTAAACACTGGACTTTAGAATTTAACTTTGCACACCCATCTTTAAATTTAATGTTGAAAATATGCAGCCTGGTATCTATCTATCTATTTACTTATTTTAAAATATTTTATTGTTTATGCTATTACAGTTGCCCCAGTTTTTCCCCCTTTGCCCCCCTCCACCCAGCCTGCCCCCCTTTCCCACAGTCAGTCCCCACCATCGCTCATGTCCGTGGGTCACGCATGTGTGTTGTTTGACTAGTTCCTTCGCCTTCTTCCAGCCAGTTACCACCTTCCCCTCCCCTCTTACAGCTGTCAGTCTGTTCCATGTTTCCATGCCTCTGGTTCTGTTTTGCTGGTTAGTTTATTTTTTTCATTACATTCCACTTATGAGTGAGGTCATGTGATATTTGTCTTTTACTGACTGGCTTATTTCACCTAGTATAATAATCTCCAATCCCATCCATGCTGTCGAAAAAGGTAAGAATTCTTTTTTACTGCTGTGTAGTATTCCATTGTGTAAATGTACCACAGCTTTTTTATCCACTCATCTACTGATGGGCACTTGGGCTGTTTCCAGCACTTGGCTATTGTGAATAGCGCTGCCATGAACATAGGGGTGCATATATTCTCTTGAATTGGTGTTTTGGGATCCTTAGGATATATTCCCAGAAGTGAAATTATTGGGTCAAAAGGCAGTTCTATTTTTAATTTTCTGAGGAAACTCCATACTGTTTCCCACAGTGGCCGTAGCAGGCTGCATTCCCACCAATAGTGCACTAGGGTTCCCTTTTCTCCACATCCTCGCCAGCGCTGGCTGTTTGTTGATTTATGTGACAGCCATTCTGACAGGAGTGAGGTGATATCTCATTGTGGTTTTAATTTGCATCTCTCGGGTGCACAGCCTGGCTTTTAAAACAATAAGCTTGTCACTGAATAGAAGGGAGTGGCTTCCAGATTGGTTCTTAGCTATTATTGTCTGTTGCTGATGGATTATCTTCAACTTTTCTCCTCATTCTTACATATTATAGAGTGAAAGTTTCTTATTAATCTTAGTAAGTAAGCAATTTATCACTCTCGATAAATGGTACAGTCCATTTGTAATACTTGATAACTGCAGTGAACCCTGCAGGCAGCAGCTGTGGTTGTGTGGAGAGGATTCTTGGTTAATCATCTGTCTTTTTAGCTACTCTCACATTTTTAGTTTGTGATCCTCAGCAGCAAAAAAACAGTCCTATTTTAGTGGGTTGGCCAAAAAGTTCATTTGTTTTTTTCTGTAAGGTGGCTCTAGTAGTACTTGGTTGCCTTAATGTTATTTTAAACAATTTTGTTAGATTGTATTTCAGCTTGCATTTAAAAAAATCAAAATTGGTGCATTTTTTCGTAGCCATTTTAATTTCAAAGATGGACAAAAATATGCAACATTTTCAGTATATTATGCTTTCTTATTTCAAGAAAGGGAAAAATGTAACTGAAACATAAAAGATTTGTGCAGTGTACGGGGAAGGTGCTGTGACTGATTGAATGAGTTAAAAGTGGGTTTTGAAGTTTTGTGCTGGAGATTTCTCGCTGGACAATGCTCCACGGTCAGGTAGACCAGTTGAAGTTGATAGCGATCAAATCAAGACATTGAGGACATTCAGTCTTCTACCATGCGGGAGATAGCCAACATACTCAAAATATCCAAATCAATAAAATTATTGGTGAAAATGAAAAATGTGTCTTTTATTGTGTGGAAAAAGCCATATGGACTTTTTGGCCAACCCAATTATTTGCAGAACCCACAGACATGCAGTTACTGTTCCAGTGTTACAGTGAAAAGAGTGCACCTTTTGGAATCATAGAGGTTTAGGCCCAAATCTTTTACCCACTATTTACGAGTCTCGTGATCTGATACAAATTGACACCTGAAACATTTTTTGTTACTGGTAGCATAGGGATAATACCTCCCTTCCTGAGGACCGTGTCTGTGGTGCGTGTTAGTTCTGTGCTCAGCACACATCAGCCGTCGTTAGCTGTGTCCTCTGTTGCTCAGCCCACTGTTCCTCTGACCACTTTCTCTCTCGCATCTCTTTCTTGACCGTCGCACCGCTCCGCCGTGAGGGTTTGGTCAGCCTTTCAGACTTTGAGATGACTCCTCTTCTAGGAAGTTTCCTGACTTTCCTTTAGACTGAGTTGTTTCCCCTTCCATTTCTCCTTCTTACCAATATAGCAACTAACTCATTGTCCTTCAGTTGTTTTAATTTGCAAAATTTTCAAATTTACAGGAAAAACCAAAAGAATAGTATAATGAGCACTCACATACCTTTTGCCCAAGTTCACTGATTGTTAACAATTTTCCACGTTTGTCGGTAGCGTCCATGTGTGTATCTTATTATTTTCCTGAAACATTTTAGAGTAAGTTGCAGATGTTGTGGCATTTTACCCCTACTTCCTGTATTTTGCCTGTATCCACAATACCATATCACACTCAAGAAATTTAACATCGATACAATAATGTTATTGAATATGCAGTCCACATTCAGATTTCCCTAGCTGTCCTAAGAATGTCCCTTTTAGATTTCTTTTGTATCCAGGGTCATGCCTCTAGGTTTGTTTCTTTAAGTTAGAGTATACCTTGTGCATTTGTTTCTTTCCATGTCATTGACATTGTAAATTAGTGTAAGAGTTGTTTTGTAGGTTTCACAGTCTCAGTCTGATTGTTGTTTCATGATGACATCGTTTTTTTTGTTGTTGTCAGTCATCTCTCTCTTCACACTATGACTTCCTGTGAGAAAGAGAAAGCAGCTTCTGACAGCTGCGAGAGAACTGGCCGGCACAGCCTGGACCTCGGCATTACCTAGAGTTGACCTGGCATTTGCACTGGGCGGTGTTGTCTTCTTGTTGAGCCTAAACCATTCACAGCACACGACCACTAGACAAGGCCACGGAGTGTCCTTGGATAAAGGCACAGACAAGATCACTGTGATCATGTCTGAACCCAGACAAAAGCATGCATGGCCTTTGCTCAAGTCACAGAAGTGATCACGCATGTTTTCATCCTGCCTGCCATGACTGACACAGCTTCTTTTTAAGTCGCAGCCTTGGTGTGTCTTCATTTTTCTTGCCTCAGAGTAAGATTTATTAAATCGTAGAATTAGGTGGAATTCATAAAATCATGGAATTACCCCCAACTCCCTTCCTGACAGCATCTAAACCAGGGCAGAGCGTCACTCCTTTAAACCTTTCCCAGAGGCCCCGACACAAGCCCAAACCCTGTGAGTCCTCTCTACACCTTCTTAGTAAAATGCCCCGGAGTTCCCAAGAGCATACAGTGTCCCTGGGTGCAAGGAGTAGTAGATCCGACCTGTTTAACCAGGGAGTGTGTTCTTGGTGCTGTTGGCTGCAGGTAGTTCCCACCGGAGAACTTGGGCCTCTCTGTTTTCCCTTTTCCTCTGTGAATGAATTTTTGATGCAGTTAAGAATCAGCATCAAGCTTTTCTGGCTAGTTTCTTACTGGTTAAGGATAGCTTTTAGTTCTGTGTAACCAGTTTTTGATCTTTGTCATTGGCATTCAGAATAATTGTAAGCTCTCTTTTCTAGGAGTTGTGATATGTAATAAAAACCACAACAACAAAAAAAGAAGATCTCAAAGGCAGCTTATAAATCAGAGACTTTATTTCTAATGATTTACCAGTTTTGTTAGAATGTTTTAATTTACCTGTCCCAGCTTTTAATGAAGTATTATCAAGTAATTGGGAGTAGTGGAGTAGCTTATTAGTAATATATACACACAAATAATATAATACATAATAACACAACTTTCTCAGGAAAGATTTGTTTTGCATATTCTATTATAAATTTTATATTATTTTTCCAGTGTGCTCACAGGAAAATAAACATTGACCATGTGAATGGAAATTTAAAGCCACCTGTTCATGATTTCTCATTGTTGCTGCCCTGAGGGATTAACTACTAGAGAACAGCTACTAGAGTGTTGTCTGCCACCAAAGAAGGGGGCACGTTCTTCCATCACATTTGTTTTGATGATAGGGCACAGTGTAACTGAACCTTTTAATGCCCGAGCCTTTATTTTCAGTTGTGCCCCACTCTGAGGAATGTTCCCATCCATCTCCACCTGTCCAGGTTTACTGGAGCGGAAATGCGCGGATCCATAGAAGGACAACAGAGACATGCGCCTGCATATGTTTTCTGTGTAGGAGTTGATATCCTCTTTGCCTGGCCATTTTAGTCTAGCTTGACGGGGAGGTGGGGTGAGTCATTGATCACACTTGGATTAAAGCTCCCAAATTTTTATGTATTTGTTTCTCTAGTAAATGAGATTTTTAAGGGTGTCCTCAAATATTAGGAAGCTTTTCATTTAAAATTTTTCAGTAAGTAGTTACGCATTTAAACATAATATTATGGATTGAAATATAATATAGCGTGTGTATTTTCTGGGTTTCCGTTCTAAGATTTTTAGATGTTCACTGGAATTTACCTTTTGTTTAAATGATAAGTATGCTGGACAATAATTATAAGCACCAATGTATATTTAATTTCTTATTTAGGAAAGAGGGATGATGAACATTTAGCTGTCATTTTAACTGTTTTGGTCAGTGGATTTTCCCCAAGATTGAATAATTTAGATTGTTTTCAGGCTGAGGATTTGCTCTGTGGGTTGGGGTTTTGGTTTCCAAATAATATAATTAATTGATAGGTAAATGAACAGTGTCATTTTAGATGTGCTTTTTCCCTTGGGATAATTGAGTTTAATTGCATTGTTGCATATAAACTGGTAACTAATATAAAAGCACATATAGCATAATGCATTATAGCAGGTTTGGTTACTTGTGACAAAACTGGAAACCAGATAGACGTCAGTTTCATTTTCATGGTATAAGATCTGATGGTAGCCTCAGGCGTGGCAGCTCCAGAGTAATTGGGGATCTAAGCTCCTACCTTGTTGCTCTGTCATTTTTTACCTTCCACTTCATAATCCTTCTTGGAAGTGGAAAGGGAGAAAGAAGAAAAGGGAGGAGGAAGAAGGAATATATTGGCTGTCTCTTAGAGAGATTTCTGGAAATCTGCAATATAACTTTTGTTCATATGTTATTGGCCTGAACTTAATCCATGTCCACATGTAACTGCAAGGCAAGCTGGAAATCATAGCCTGTTTTTTTTCCTGGACTGTTATGTACCTAGTTAGAAATTGGGGATTATTTTACTAAGGAGGAAGGTGAGAACAGATACTGAGATAGCAACTGGCAACTGATTTCATAGAAAATAAAATGATATAGTGGATGTTAGGAATCCTCAGATTGACTGCCACTTACCTGCTAACCTTTACTGGGCCCTGGGCTCTTTGAGGATGCTGGTAAAAGTTACAAACCTTTTCCTCAAAAATGTGCCTGTTAACATAACACATGGAATTTTGTAGGACTGTTGTCCCTGACACCCATGCATTAGGACTTGGGAGTTGTTTGTGGACCCACTGGTAAGATTTCTTAGTGACAGTGACTCTTTTCTAGGAGACACTCTTCCACTTAAAACAGTTATTTTTGTTAGGAGAGTTTTTTTAAGTTTTCATTGTTTGCTCATGCAGTCAACATATGTTTATTAGCATCTTCTATGTGCTGGACACGATGCTGGTACTTGAAGATCCAACATCACTATAATTATTTATTTATTTATTTATTTATTTATTTTTAGAGAGGGAAGGGAGGGGGGGGGAGAGAGAGAGAGAGAGAGAGATTGAAACATCAGTGTGTGGTTGCTGGGGGCCATGGTCTGCAACCCAGGCATGTGCCCTGACTGGGAATCGAACCTGCGATGCTTTGGTTCGCAGCCCACGCTCAATCCACTGAGCTTCGCCAGCCAGGACTAATTTCGCCAGACAGGATTAATTTTTGAAGTGTTGTGCCTGGCATGGAACTGAGAGGCTTAAATACATTCTTCATTTTCTTCATTTTCTGAAGTAGGAAAAAATCTCCTAAGATTTTGTAGCTAGTGAATGGTAAGCTAGTATTTGGATCTAGGTCTAACTCTAAAACCATTCCTTTCAGTTACCACGAAGTAGACATTTCCCCATAAGCATGAGACATGTTGAGCTGAAGTATTTAGTGGTTCAGTTTCCACCCTTGCCCTGGGTAATGTAACTAGGGATCTCTTTGTGCCTCAGTGTTCTGTGAACATTTTGCAAAGCTGCTGAAAATGTTTAAGTATGTGATGATGCTACTCTTAAATTTGCATTTTTAAAAACATTGCCATCAGTACTGTTAAATTTGTATTTTTTAAACCCTATATTGCCATCAGTATGATATATGGCGTGTGGCAAATGCCAACTGGTAGTCTGATTGTGATTTGAGAATAGTAAAAATGGTCATATTTGAAAATGCCTAACCAGCATTCAAATTATAGGTATTATTAAAACGTTCTATGAAAGCCGTCTTTCTGTCACCTTGTGCAGCAGTGCACCGGGGGGCCGAGTGTTCCCTTTTTTCTCACAAGCGCTCTCACGTGCGCTGACAGCGTCACGCACACGGAGTTTAGTGTAAAGAGCTTTTTTGCTTCAAACTGAGGTTTTTGACCCCATTGATATACAGATGTTCTCATAATTTCCTCTCTTCAATTCCTTCATAAATAAAAAAGTGTGAAAGGGAAAATTATCAGTAATTACAGTATTAAATTACTATAGAAAGCCATTCGAGTTCTTTATAACTCTCTTTTCAACTTCAGTTGCAGAGCGCCAGCTTCTTAAACGGTAAGTTTCTTGTATTGACAGGCCGTAGATGATGACGGCACTGATTATTTGAGTTGAAATCTCTGCCTCTTGTTTGATCGGGAGCGTTATTTCCTCTCCTGGTGGGAGTGCCGCCGCTTCCAGCGCGGGGGACTAGGTTTGACCTCAGGAGGCTGCGTGACACGCACAGCGGAGAGGCTGTGGGGGGTCCACCGCTGCCTTCCGCCCTGTGACCGCAAGTCGTCGTGAGCAGGTGTTCAGCTGCCTTGGTCTGTGCTGATTCTCGCCTCGTTCCAGGACGCTTTGACGAGACTGTCATCGAGGAGAGGAGGCAGTGCGCCGAGGACCTGCTGCAGTTCTCCGCCAACATTCCCGCGCTGTACAACAGCAAGCAGCTTGCCGATTTTTTCAAGGTTTGGAGGTCTTTCTGAAATACTTTGTATTTTATTAAATGCCTGTGTTTTCTACCGTGTAGTAAAAAAAGCTTCAGGTTTTTTTAAAAAGTAGGAAATGTCATTTACTTTTGAATTTCATTATTCACTAGAATAAGTATTAGTTTGATTACAATGTCTATGGCATATCTTTTTTTAGTGCAGAAATATGGAAGATTTTTGATTCATAAATTTTAAAAATTGGATGCAGAGGGCTTAGAGATTATATGATTCACTCTCACCAAAATTGAAATACATTAAAAAGAATTCTAAGAATCATGAAACTCCAGTAGTTATCTTCACTTTTTGAGATGTCTTTTAGTGGCAAACTTTTTGGGGGGAATAGAAATCACTATAAGTCTATTTACACTTTATGTCATTATACTAATTAATTTATTCAAAGATAGAACAAAAATAGTTAAACACAATTGTAGAGAGGTAAGTTAGTACAAATTATATTACCAGAGATCACTGAATGTTTGTGTATTAAGTTTCTTGACACGTAATGCCTTCATTCTGAGTTCTTTGTAATTTTTAATAATAATTTTAAAATTTATTTTGAACTGAACTTTGTACAGGTTGTCAGTTGATATCATTGTTTTTAATGATCACAATTTTCCTATTGTATTTAGCCTTCTAGAAAAAAGCTAGATTGTGTCATAATTGTTCTTTTCCTTCTTTAACTAAAATTCTACTCATTTGTCTGAAAGTAATTTCTTAGAACATATAGCCAACAAGGTATACGAATAGTGGGGTTCTTAATTTTCCTGATACTAGTAGACCTAACATGACCTATTTCAGTTACTAAAGAAAGCTGATCTTTTCAAAGATATTACTACAGACTCAGGAGGTATACAATAGAAATAGAAATAGAAAAGTTTACAGTAACAATGAGATTCCTGTTGATTGACTTCGTTGCTTAATTTTCTGTTACTCTGTAGACTAGGCCAAGATGATGAATTTGGCTTTGCTTGTAACCTAATGCAGATCTTTGGGGTCAAAGGCCAAGTCAGAATGATACAATACTGAGCTCTTTGCTGTTTTTAGGTGCAGTGTAACTAATGTGGAGTTTATGCTTATAGAAAAAGGCAACATTATTAAGCAAGAAGAATATTGCTTTATAGAAATTGTGAAAGGCAAGACATACAAATTAACACATGCCAAGGGATAAAAAAAAATCAGTCTAGGGCAGTGATTTTCAACCTTTTTCATCTCATGACACACATAAACTAACTACTAACATTCTGTGGCACGCCCCCCCAAAATGTTTTTTGCTGATCTGACAAAAAATATAGGTATAATTTTGATTCATTCATTCACACCAGACAGCTATTGTTGTGTTGACTGTTGTCATTTTTTTTTTTTATGACTATGTAAGGGAAAAGAGGTCGGTGCCCCTGGCTAAGTAGTCAGGTATTGCTGGTTTTAGAAATTCTTGCGGCACACCAGTGTGCCTCTTACAGCACACTGGCTGAAAATTGCTGGTCTAGGGACATAGAAGTCAGATCGTAGACTTTGTACAATTTAAATAAAAGTATGTATTTATGATCTTTCTTCTGGATCTGGGAATTCCTGATTGTTACTGCTGCTGGAAGACACTTATTTTTAGGCTTTGTGAAATGGGAAACAAAAGAAGAGGAAGAAAAGATGGGACAGTTTAAGAAAAGTGAAACGAACTCTCTACCTAGAGATAGTCCTAATATTTCCTTGGCCAGAACTGGGTCACAGGATAATCCTTAAGCTCAGAGAAGTCTGAGCAGGTGACTCTTTCAGCTTTCTAAGTTTTGATTGTGGAGGAATGTATGGAGGGGAGGTTTTTGAGTAGCTACACCACAGGGTGTGCTATAATAACATAGTTTTTTTCTTTGTAGAAACACTCATAAGTATCACATGCAAATAACCATATAGCCACTTGATTTTGAATTTTTAAAAACATATGCAAGAGTAGAAGGAATAGTGTAATGAGCCTCCATTACTCATCACTCAGCTGCAAAAATGATCAGTATGTAGCCAAAAAGTTTCATCTGTTGATTGAAATTCAAAGTTACTGGCATAAAATTGTTCATAGTATTTCCTTATAAAACTTTTAATTTCTGTAGGGATGGTAGTAATGTCCGTCTTTCATTCATGATTTTGGTAACTTGTGTCTTGTCTATTTTTTTCTTAGTGTAGCTAAAAGTTTGATTTTTTTGTTGATCTTTTCAAAGGACCAACTTGGTTTTATTGATTTTTCTCTATATTTCTGTTTCATTTCATTGATTTATACTCTAAACTTTAATTCTTTCCTTTTGCTTGCTTTGATTTACTCTGCTCTTTGTCTAATTCTTTACTTCCTTAAAGTAGAAGCTTAAGTTATTGATTTGAGATGGTTTTTGTTGTCTAATGTAAGCATTTACAGCTATAAATATCCCTCAGTACTGATGGAGTCTCAAGTCCCATAAATTTCTGTGTTTTGTTTTCATTTTATTCAGTTCAGTGTATTTTCTGATTTCTTTTGTGTTTTATTTTGTTGTTGATCCATTGGTTATTTAGAAATATGTTCTTTATTTTTCCAAATGTTCATGGATTTCCTAACATTTATTGTATTGTTGATTTCTAATTTTTGTTTTCTTGTGGTTGTGGTCATATGTTGTATAATTTCAAACCTTTTAAATTTATTGAGACCTGATTTATTTCTTAGCATATGATCTGTCCTGGGGAATGTTCCATGTGTGCTCGAAAGGTATATATGTATATTCTGTTGTCAGGTGGACTTATATAAATGCCAGTTATTTCGAGTTAGTTGATAGTGATATCAACTATTTGCTGTTTGTCTTTAATATCCTTGCTAATTTTCTAATTCTCTCAATTACTAACAGTGAGGTATTGAAATCTTCTATTGTTATTTTTGAATTTCTTACTTCTTCTTGCAGTTATGTAAATTTTTCCTTTATTTTGGGGTTCTGTTGGCACATATGTGTATGTTTATGATGGATATGTCTTCCTGATGAATTGAATTGCTTAGTCTTACGCAGTGTCTCTCTTGGCCTCTAGTCGTATTTATGAAAGCCTCCCTCTGTGTGCTTTCAGTGTGGCCACTCTAGGTCTCTTCCAGTCCCTGTTTGCGTGGCACCTTCTTTTCGTTCTTTCTCTTTCAGTCTGTTTGCATTATTGAACAGAGTGTATCTCTTACACGCACTCTATAGTTTCATCTTATTTTTTTAATCCAGTCAGAAAATTGCTGTTGTTGATTGGAGTACTTAGTCATTTCATACTTAATTATTGATATGATTGAATTTGCCTGCCATTTTGCTCTTTGTTGTCTCCTATATTTTTGTTTTTCTTTTGTGTCACCTTTTGTATTAAATAGATAATGATTGTTGTATCATTTAAATGCTTTTTTTATGAGTTGTGTTTGTTAAGTTAAATTATTATTGGTTGCTCTAGGGAGTAAAACATGCATTTTAATTTATGACAATTTACTTGAGATTAATACTGACTTAATTTCAGTGAAATATAGAAAGTTTGCTCCATAAAGCTTTATTTACTCCCTGTCCATTGCATCTTATCATCCATATGCTTTAAAAATATTGGAAACACAGCAATACAATGTTATGATCTGATTTTTTTAAGAAGTTAGGAGAAGAAAAAACAAGAACATATATTTATATAGTCTTTTTTTACCTGAAAAACAGTGTTTATTAAAAAAATTAGGGAATAAAAGATATGTAACATAAAACAATGTATATAAATCTAAAATATGTGTACATAAAATGATAACACATTTTTCAAGAGCATATTCCTAAAAGGCTATGAAATAACTAATGAGACAGGACCTTCCTTGGACCTATATAGTCTTTTATACTTCCCTCATTATTACCTTTCTTAGTGTTCTTTCTTTGTTCAGGTAGATTTGAATTACCTACAGTTGTCATTTTCTTTCAGCTTCAATTTCCTGTTGTTTCCTTTTTTATGTTTTAGACAGGTTTGGTAGCAAGAGATTCTCTCAGTCTCTGGAAATGTTTTTGTTTCATTTTTGTTTCAACTCTTCATTTAAAAAAATTATTGACTTTAGATAAGAAAGGGGGAGGGACAAATGGAGGGAGAGCGAAAGAGAGAGGTAGATAGATAAAGAGAGAGAGAAAGAGAGAGAGAGAAACATTGCTATGTTGTTCACTTATTAATGCATTCATTGGTTAGTTCTTGCATGTGCCCTGACTGGGGATCGAACCCACATACCTTGCTGTATCAGGGTGATGCTTTAGCCAACTGAGCTACCCTGCCAGGGCACCCTTCATTTTTAAAGGATAGTTTTGCTGGATATATGAAATTATTGACAGTGTTTTTTATAGTTCTTTGAATTTGTCATTCTACTGCTTATTGTCTTTCATTGATTTTTATGAGAAGTCAGCTGTTAATTGTACTGTAGTTCCTCCGTGTCTTTTTTTATTGCTTCTTTCATAATTCAGACTTATCTCTCAACAGTGTTAGTCTAGGTATTGATCTCTTTCTGTTTATCCTACATGAGGTTTAATTTATCTTGTATTTGTAGATTTAAAGTTTTTTGTTGTCAGGTTTTAGAAGGTTTCTGCCCTTATCTCTTCAAGTATTTCACTTTCAGCCCCTTTGTCTCACACTGGATGTTGCTGTTACATTTAAGTTGGTACGTTTGATATTATCCCACATTTCTCTCTGGTTCTTTTTATTATTACTTAGTCTTCTGTCCCTATGATCTTCAGATTTGAAGTTTTTGTTGATCTTCAAGTTCATTGGTTATTCTTTCTCAAATCTGTTGTTGAACTCCTAGTGAATTTAAAATTTTTGTTATAATACCTTTCAATTCCAGAATTTCCACCTGGTTCTTTTTATCCCCTAAGTTGAGATTAATTGATATAACGTAAAATTCACCAATTTTAAGTGTAGAGTTTAATGGTTTTTAGTATATACACAGGTTATGCAACTATTATCACTACCTGATTCAGAACATTTTCATCACCTCATAAAGAAACCTTATACCCATTAGCACTCACTTCCCCACATGCCCCAACCCCGAGCAACCACTGGCCTACTGTCCATAGTGATGGATTTGCCTATTCTGGGCATTTCATATGAATGGAATCCTACAATATGTGGCCTTCTGTGTCTGGCTTCTTTCTCAGAGCTTAGTGTTTTCCATGTTTGTCTGTGTTGTAGCATGTATCAGTACTTTGTTTTTGTGGCTGGATAGTGTTCCATCACGTGGATGTGAATGCACCACATTGTATGTATCCATTCATCATTTGATGGACAGTTGGGTTGTCTCCATTTTTGGCTCTGTGATAATGCTTCATTTTTATTTTTTAAATAGTATTTATTTATATTTGCTATTCCATGAGCCATAGAGTTACACTTTTTTAAAACTCTTTAATCACGATTTCCTTCAGTTATTTGAACCTGTTTGTAAATAGCTGCCTTGAAGCCTTTGCCTTCTGAGTCCAACAATTTTGCCCTCTCAGAATGGGTTTCCACTGAGCATTTCCCCCTCTCTGTGTGGAGTGCACACTTTCCTATTTCTTTGTGTGTCTTATATATATTTTTTTGAAAATGAAAATTTTGGTTAATATTTATTATAGCAACTCTGATATCTGATTTATTTCCCCTGAGGGTTGTTGCCATTGTTTTGTCCATACATTTATCACTGTATTTTTGGACCATAAGACACACGTAGGTTTAGAGGAGGAAAATAGGAAAAAAAATTTTGAAGCAAAAAATATGGTTAAATATTTAATAACATAAATAACATAATATTTCACCAATGTAAATGTAAACAGAACTCAACAGCAGTATTAACAACCATTATTCCTCCCAATTTGGAGTGGGGGTGCGTCTTAATAGTCCGAAAAATACGGTGACCTGTCTGCAAAATCCGTGGAGTCTGGTCAACTTGTAGTTTGTGACTGTTGATACTTACACTCAGTTTTTATTGTATTTTGTTTTATTTTATATTTTTAAAGCTGGTTTGGTAGGGATTAGCTTTGTATCATTATAGGTTAGTGGGCAGCCAGTGTTTGGTCTTTGCTTGTACTTAAACATTTTGTTTCTTTTCATGCTGCTTCCTTATGCTGATGATTCTTTGTTTTCAAAGTTCCAGCAGTTTTATGTTTGTCCTGAGTTTTATTTTCCTTTGGGCCTCCGTGGACTTGGCTCTGCATGTGTGTCGTTTGCCAGGGGTTTGTAGGCAGCGTGATCTCTCTCTGGCCCCTCCTGCACAGATGGGTAGGGAGTTTATTAAGAACCCCTATGCTGTGTTATTTTCTGGATCTCCCTGGTAAATGTCTGACTAGTCATGTTTTGGTCCTTTGCTTGCCACAGCTTATGCTTGCTGAGCCACTCCCTTCCTTGACATTTGTTTGGCACTGAGATGGCTACTATTACTGATAATGCTGTTTTGGGTAGATTTTGTGTGTGTGTGCTTCAATCAAAATCATGCCTGCCTCCTCTGCAAGTGAATCTGCTGGTTTTAGAAGCTTGCCTTGCCCTTGAATAATTACCATGGCAACCCAGCTGGGATGGAAGATGGTAGCAACCCCAGGCCAGAATGCCGTAGCCTCCCACAGTTCTTACCTGTGGTTTTGTACTTTTTCATGAGTAACACTTCTTCCTTTGCTTTATGTTTTTGATCAAGTTCCAGAGCTCTCTAATGGTTGTTATGTTATTGTCTTTTGGGAGAGTGTTTGCTGATCCACCAAACACTATATGGTAGAATATACTACCATACCGGAACTCCTTCCCCTTCAGACTGACTCTCATTACCATCACCATTGAGAGGCTATGGGACCAGAGTTCCTTTTTACTGCACGATCAGTCACCCTATAAAGTTAATGTTTGAAGTAGAGAGTTAAGATGGAATTGTGGCATATTTTCCTGACTTCCCTGTAGTGCCTACACAGCAGTTTTCATTATTACTTTGTTTCATTAAAGATTTATTCTTTATTTGGTATAGTGTTATTTATTTATTATTTTGTATATATTGCTTGTTAAATTAGGTAAATAGATTTTTTAGGATTATTAGCTGAAACATTTTTTTCAGTTTTAGTTTTATAAGCAGATCTTATATCAGTTTTTAATAACAATAACAAAAAATCTTGAGTACTTACATTGTTCTAAAAACTTGACAGATAGGAAATCTTTTAGACCTAACAATTCCTTGAGTTACTTACAAGCATCATTTCCATTTTACAGGTAGGTAGCTTAAAGTCACTATCCACCTAGTGATAGAAGAAGTTAATAGTTGGGTCACTTTATGTTAAATAAAATCAACTTTGTGTATTAAAATTCTCAAGAATATTTCCATATTTTCTTAAAATTTAGTTTTGATGTTCAAAGGATGGCTTTGTCTAGAATAGGTACTCTTTTTTTGAGAAAAATTTAGCTGTAAAACTGTGATTGGAATATTTTAATAAGAATAGAATAGAGTAATATAAACTCTTGCTTCTAAAAAATATTTGTTTTTAAAGTCTTCGTTCATTTAATACTCTAGGACGTTAAGTTTTGTAATTTGAGAAGGACCACTTCAAATTTCTCTTAAAGATAAGCTGGCAGGAAGACTTCGATTAGGGGAAGATAGTTGTTGAATTCTTTGTGTTGACACAGGGAGGAAACGGGTTTTGTACTTCTCCTGGGTTTCGCTCTTCTGGAAGGAATGTTTGGGAGCAGGAGAGCTGTCACTGTAGTTACAGCACTTAAAGATCACGAGCCCGCGTTCTCATGACCGGAGCAGCGCACGAAGCCACAGCACAGAACCGCACCACGGCCACTCACCTGCCAATAGCGTTCTCTAGTTACATGTAAGGAAGAGGAAGTAGCTTTCTGAGGCTTGAATTTGCAAACTTAGATATAGAATTAAATAATGGTCACATTGAGAAATCAATTTTAAATTATTAACATTGTGTGTCTTTAATAAAGATATTTTAAATTTATTTAGTTTCCCTTACATTGTATTGAAGTGGTTTTCAAATTTAAGTCACTTCTGGGCTCTCCTGGAGATGCTGTGTGATATATTGTAGTTTTTAATTTGACAAAATTAAGTTACTTCCTAATGGAGTTCGTCATTTATCAGTAATTGGAATAGGAGCAGTTACTAAGGATTCTGAACAGTATTCTTTAGATGGTTGGGTTTTCTCTTTCTGTATTTTTTTAATGAGTACTTTTGAGAGATTTTAAAAAATAAGCTTTTGTAAAAAGCCATGTATTACTGCTATAAACATGATAATATTCCTGTTGAACTTTAAAATAATATTTTAGAGCAGTTTATGTTTGTAGAGAAATTGTGCAGAAGGTACAGAGTTTTCCCATATATTCCCCTACTCCCTCACAGAATTTCTGTGTTGTTAACATATTACATCGGTGTGGTACATTTGTTAAAACTGATGAACCAATATTGATATTTTTGTTGAGTTTTTAAAAATAGCAATTATAATCTAATTTAATAGGTGAATCGTTTTTGTAGTCCTTGTGCATACTCAGTTGAGATTATAGTAGTTCATTTATTACTGATTTTTTAAAAAATACTCTTTGACAATGAAATGCATTTACTCTGATCTTTTTAGGGTGGAATAGTTAGCGATGGTTCTGAGTTGATTGGTCCTGTTGAAGCTTATTCGGATTCTTTCACTGATAGCTTTCCCGAGTGCAGTACAGAAGGTAAGAAATTTTATTTATTTAATTTTATTTTATTCATTTCAATGATTCTGACTGCAGAAGGCTATAAATCATATTTACATTGCAAAAAATAAATGGATGTAGGAATTTGAGAATATTTCATTCTAAGATTCTACATTTTTTTACATTTTAACATCACTGATATTTGGTGCATTATATTGGGTTGATGATATCTTACATTTCATTGACAGCTTTTTCTTTCTTAGTGATGTATAAGGTAATGATTCCTCCTACAATTCATGCCATCTTAGATTTGATGAAATGCGGTATAATGAATGTTTAGAATATGTATCCTCTAGAATAAGAATGACTTGCTTATTAAGTTTATGTAGTAGCATCTGACTTTTAGACAGTTAATTTCAAGACTGGCTTTAAAAGTTTAGTCATGTACCCAGAAAAGAAAAATCTAAAGCAGTTTTAGTGTTTTTGATATCTTTTAGGATTACATGAGTCTAAACCAAAGCAATTTTTGTACTTTTAATCACTTTAATTCAAGAATGTTCACTCTTGTGTTTTATTCCTCTGTTAGGTCATCCTTGAATTTTTATGAAGATTTAAAGTACACTCATTTTTGGATTTTGGGATTTCCCTTGCTAGTTTTCTTTCCGGGAACATTTTGGAATTAAAAAAAGGATTTGGGGACAGGGATGGGGAGAGTCTTTAAAGATAGTTAATTGGATTTGTTTGACTCGCCTTAGGCCTGGTTTATATAAACGAGAAATCACAACTAGATGATATTTCTTGATCTCTTTCACAAGTGGGAGTTTCCAGCAGAGGAGGGTGTTTCGTGAAACAAGAGGTGGGAGGCAGCCCTCCCACTGCAGCGATGCGTCCCTGGGGCCTGCGTGCAGACGTCCTGTGCAGACAGACAAACTGACGTAGAGCTCTCGCTGTGAAGCCCCATCCTGATTTGGCAGGAGCAACACGTCCCCACCCATTGTGCAGGCTGATGCACTGAAATACATTTTTCTGTTGGTTTCTGTGTTGAGAAGTGATTAACTTTTCTGGTTTTTCATGGTGGCCTCTGTTGACTTCAAAGCAAGTTCATTAACTTAAAGCCAGTGTTCTGTGTAACGTTCGGGGCCCTCAGGCCCAGGATCTCCACTGAGTCTCCAGTGTGATTCTCCCTCCAGAGCCAGTCTCCTTGGAACGTGACTTCTCTGGGGTAACCTGACCCGGCTGTTGCCTCAGAGACACCCTCCTCCTGAGAAATAGGGAGAGTGTTTTCCGCCTGTGAAATGTGCTGATTTGATGATGTTCAGTAGAGGACAAATAGGACAGTTAAACATATTTGTAGGAGAGTATTCAACAAGGAGTACAGATCTTGGAAATTGAAGAATGTTTTCGCTTTCTCTTTTTGTTTTGTGGTACAGGACACGAAGGTCGTGTGATTTGGGAATGGTTATGTTCTGTTGGCAGCCATAAAAAAGCTTTGTTGCTAGGTGGGAGTCAGCCGAGGTGCGAGAGCAGTGTTCAGGAGCCTGTTTTGCTGTGAAGTATCAGGGAGGGGAGCAATGCAGAGAGAGATCTTTCGTCCTTCGCCATAGTCTAGGAGGGAGAAGGAGGGGCGTTATTATTAGGAGTGACTTTCCTTGGGATGGTGTTCTAACAGATGCAAAGCTCTTCTGTGTAAAAAGGTGGCTGTATTTATATTAAAGGGCATACAACCTAAAGCTAAGTGAGTTAGTAATTTATGGTCTGGGAGACTCAGAAGTCTGGGAGACTTCTGAGAAGTGAGGATGCTGTTAATAAGTACAGTCAGATGGCAGGCATAAACCAGGACTGCCTGGGACAAGCAGGGCGGAATGGGCTGCCCATGGAAAACAGCTGTTTCAGAGTTGGCCGTCCAAGTTTCAGAAAGATGGGTTTTGTTTGGAAGGATTTCTCTTCTGGGAATATGCTTTTATGAGAGAAATTAGGGGCAACATTTTTATTAAAAACTCAGGAAAAGACTTACGAGACCTAAAAGTAATAGTGACAATTTATCCTTTCAGGGCATCATTTTGTTTTCCAACACTCTTACCTTTTCTAAAATGCACCGTGATCCACTGATAACAAAAAACATGGGACTGGAAATGCTGTGGATGCTTATGCTTTTTACCCCCTTCCTTTAAAAGTGTTTGTGCCTGGCTAATTAATCCTGCTGAAAGACACCTTGTTGACAAAGACAGATCAGAATGTCAGACGGCTTACAAACTTACTGCTATTTGAGAGGGGAAGGGACTTTTAAGTATCATGTGGTTGTGTGGCATCCTGGCACGTGGAAGATGTGCTTTCGTACAGACAGGTCTGTGAACCCTGAAGACAGCCGAGGGAGGGGCCTCCAGCGCGAGAGCGGGAGCGGGAAGGCTGGCCGCCCGCCAGGCCCCACCGGTGTGCAGTGAGTGAGAGGGGGGCTGCGCAGGGCCTGTGGCTGGCACGTGCTTGTGGGGTGGGTTTGGAGCCAAGATGTGAGGAGGTGATTCGTTCCATAAGAGCTCCTCTGAGGGCAGTGTTTTAAATGGTGTTTTGAAGGTGGATTCATTTTTCATACTTGTGATCTCGTTTGCCAGTGGAATGAGCCAGAAGGGCAAATCTTAATATCTAGTCGGCTGTTTCAAGGTCCTTCAGGTAGAGTTAGAATGACATGGCAAGGCTATCACCTGAGAGAACAGATGCAGAGGCTAAGGGATCATTATTTTTATTAGTACCATAAAAATGCAATCAACATGTTTTACGTCACCTTGAAAGAAAGTTTTCCCAGGAAAACGAGGAGCTGCCTAGTGGTGTAACCTTATTTTATAGTACAGTGGGATGGAGGAAAGCCCCATAGGGTTTGATAAAACCAGTAATTCGGTAATTAACTGGTAAATATAGTTTATCTAATATGAAATTGAAAATTATAGGGTTATTCAGTAGGTTTTTAGATAAAAAGTTAATATTTTATGTTTTTAAAGTGAAATTCTGGTTACTCTTCATCTTCTTTGTTCGGAGAAATTAAACTATATCTTTTCTCATGGAAGAAAGGTTCAATTGATTGTTAACATCTTATTTCCTTTTTAAACTTTCATCATTTGTTGGATTAAAGTTAGCTATGAAGTTACTGACATTTGTGAAAACCCGGCCAGAATGATGCATGGGAGTCGGGCTTCCTGACATGTTTCTCTCATCTGTGGGCCTGTTGGAAGGATGTAGGTTGCTTTACTGCCATGCTGGCCTCGATACTGGAGCCTTTGATGTCGGCACAGTCTCATCTGGGAACCTGTGTCATTTCCTCTTCCTAGTACATTACTTTATTTCCTTTGCAGTTCTGGGAGGGACACTTTCCAGGTGTATGCAGCAAATAAGAGAAAATAATTAGGTGATCATAACCACAAATACAAATTGAGAGATCAACTTCTTATGTGTAGCAGATCTTAAGGGTGAATATTCTTAAATGTCTCCTGGAGTAGTCAAATCTACATTTTCTTTTAATTTGTAAATTGTGTATTAGGAGCTCCTAAGTGTGTATTCTAACAATTATAGACTCAAGAAAGGATTTATTATGCTGTCTTGAATTAGTTATTTTAGAGTAAATGAAATGTACATTTTGAGAGAAATGGCATCTATTGCTGGTGTATGTAAGTGAACTCATAAAATAATTCTCTGTGCAAGATTTGTGTGTTTATTTGGTGGTAGGGTAATAATTTTTTCCATTATGTAGATAAACTTGAAGATTATAATTAATATATGTGAAACTGAATAATGTAAATCATATTTAAGACATTAAATGTACCCAACATTATATTATGTTGGGGGGACTAATTAGAAAGGTGTAGTTATCTAAGTTTGAAAAAGTTCTGTATTAAAATACCTTTTTATTATGTATTCTTTTACTTTTTATTATTTGTGTTGTTTTCATGTAGATGATTTAAAGTTGATGTTTTGAGGCAGGATAATTTTATAAAAGAATAATCTTCAGGTTTTTTGCTACTTAGTAACCTAAGTATATATTTAAGACAAACTTAAAATCTATGCACTACATGTACTGTAAGATGACGAAATACACGTCTAAATAATTTAAAGTAGAATTTATAGCAAATGCCCACTAGGTGGCACCATGAGAACTCCAAATCTTGTTACTGGAATTAGTCTGGGCCCTGGATTACATTAGAGTAAGTTTATTCAGTTTGAAGTTCCTTTTTTTCTTATCTACTTAACTTTTATTCACTGTTCTTTATTAGTTGAATTTTCTTTGATAAAGAAGCTTAAAATAAATAGGAAAGAAGTACGGGTCATTACTCTCAAGGTAAATACAAATGAGAATGTGTTATTGTGTGTATATATGCATGTAAAACAAATGATACAAATTGCAAATATTGACTCTTACAACCCTGGGTTATTGAAGATAATGTTGAAAAATTAGGGCTTTGGGGTTGGGTGAGGCCAATAAAAAGTTATGCTGCATCGTGGGAATGGGTTTTTTAGAGTAGAAGAACATTAGGGAACATATAGATAAATCTTTTAGTTAACCATGAAAACTGGAAATTTGGAGAAGGTAAGCCATGTGCCTAAGGCAGGCAAGGCACTCCAGGTATTGAATAGCAATCATGGAAGTGTGTTTGTGAAATGGAGACTTAGTGTTATGGAGAGGAGACAGAATGTGTGTGGTACAGAAAGCTCTCTGGGAGCCACTGGCATGCCAGCGACGAACAGGCGTGGTTTGCAGAGAAGAACTGGGGAGAGCAGCAGCGCAGAAAGTTCCGTAGGCAGCAAGGGAAGCCCCCTCATAGGTCTCGGTTGTTCGCGCTAAGGTAACAGTGTGAGGGTTGTAATTGTGATGAATGTGTTGTTTTCTGAGCTCAGTCTGGTTTTCATCAAGTACACAGAAGATATTCCGATGCTGTTTTCACAGAATTTCAAGGGTGAAACATAGACCTGTCCCCAGGACATGTCATCAGAATGTGAAATGTCAAAGGAACGGTTCTTTCGGCAACAGTAGCTATTATTAAATGATGAGCTGG